TACTACTACTACTACTACTAGGTTTGTTATCATGAATAGAAGCCCCCACCCCTCATTCGGCCATTGGGATCTTTCATGTATTCTTTTGCCCGTGTAGGCCTATGAGGGCCGTTATTTCTTGCAAGTTTCCTCCAGAGCCCATCTAGACCTTTGAACGGAGTATTTGCTATTCGGATAATATTATGGCTAGGATCCTATAATAGGGAGCTACTACTGGAAACCAAAGCAAGATACCACATATTAAGGTCTGGGTAAGCCTGGGTATACAGCCGCCTAGGAGCAGCATGCAGCCGTCCGAGATAGCCCCTGACGTCATCAGCATGGATGCAGCCATCAGCTCCTGTGAAAAGTGCTCACAATGGGAGCAGGCTTCTCGGTAGCTTAGCTAGTAAACTTCAAAGTATTCGGGGCAATGTGCTGGCTTTCTGGGCTTTGGAAACTGAGGCATTGCAGCTGCTTTGGGATATGCCTGCTGCACGACTTCATGCCAATGTGATCAGCTTCAACGCAGCTCTCAGTGCCTGCGAGAAGTCCTCTCGCTGGGCAAAAGCACTACAACTGTTTGCAGCGATGCCCTCACGCGCCGTGGAGCCAGATGTAATTACGTTCAACAGTTGCATCAGTGCTTGCGGTAGTAATTCCGAGTGGCAGCTGGCTTTGCACTTGTTGTCCTGCATGCCGGTGTCGCAGATACTGGGCTGTTTTGGAGAAGTTAATTTAAGTTACCTTTACGGCAATCTACTGTGAATAAAAACTTAGAATGAACGTAAATTTCCTGACAAGAACCCAGGATACCCCCAGACAGAATCAGCATCAACGCTTGCATCAGTGCTTGCGAAAAGGGGTTTGAATGGCAGCTCGCGCTCTACCTGCTCTGGTCAATCCCAGTACCCGATGCATACAGCTTTAGTGCCGCCATCAGTGCCTGTGAAAAATCACTGCAGTGGCAGATGGCGACCGCACTGCTGTTTACTATGCTTTCTCGGGTGGCCCCTCACGCAGTCGCATTCAACGCAGCCATCTCTGCGTGCGAGAAGTGCTCGCAGTGGCAATCCGCTCTGTGCCTTTTTTCGGAGATGCCAGCAGCGGCGGCCGTCCCCACCGTAATTAGCTTCAACGCCACCATCACTTCCTGCGAAAACGCCTCTCTCTGGCAAGAAAGCGTGCACCTGGGCGCCAGTAGCACCCTTTCATTGTTTACAAGCGTACCATGCCGTGTTCATTCTTATTTCGTGACCATTAAGATGTATATTACTATTGCTACGATCGTTGTGTTTTCTACTGTGCACTGTCATTGGTACTTTTATCATTATTGG